TGGAAGAAATAAATTTTTTAAAATTAAGTAATAATTTGCAGCAGTTTGGTTTGAGCTAGATTTTTAAATGCTGACAACACAAGGAAAATCTGCCTCGTTTTTCACCCTTGAAGATTTGTGATGTGCAAATCTGCAAGACCAACAATTACAGGACCCGGGTTCAGCCAGAGAGAAGTGCAGCTGTTGGCAGCTTCTTTTTCCGTCTAAAAATTAAACCATCATGAGATACTCTATTCCTGATGTGAACTTCAGACTCCTAACTAGACCTTCATTTGCTTGGAGAATGTCACAAAGTAGTAGTCTGAGAAGAAAAAAGGGACTATCTACTCTGGCCTTCCAAAGCTAAATAGGTAAAAGCTCTTCAGTTTGGGAAAGGTTGAAAAAAAGAAAATAGTGGAGGATTGTTTTGAAGGTCAGCAAAATTGATGAGTGGTCTGGAAATGCATAGTAGGGGATTCCATAGCAGAAGAGATGGAAAGCACTCAACAGTAGATCAGCTGAAATTAAATGGAGTAAGTCTTTAAAACATGTACAAAATTGTGGCATTCACTGCCGGATACATAAAGTGACTCCATCAGAGCTGAGATATACTGTAAAAAAAAAATGTGGTTAATCAGCAATTCTAAAACATAGTGATACAAGTGGTCTCTGGTTCAGGAAATTCCTATACAAATGACTACTAATAATTGGAGTTATTTGTCCACTGTGTTGTCTCTCTTTTTGCTCAACATCTCATAATGAAAAATACCAGATTTGATGTAATCTTAATATTTTAAGATTTTAAGCACCTTATGAAGATTATAGCTGATTTAAAGAGCCTGTGGCGTATTCATTAGTTCACAGTTCTGCTTATTAACAACTTAAAACACTTCTAAAAGTGTTTTTGTTGAAGCGGAGATTCAGAATGTCACAATATTGCCTGTACTATTTTCTCTCACTTCTCATCATATTACAGCAGGCACATTCTGTTTTATGTTCAGCCTCTTGCATGCCTAGTGGATTGGTATGCAGAAAATGAGAAAGTTGATCATTTACTTTATATTATGACTGCACAAGTGTTAGATGTAGGGAGCTGTTCGGTGTAAGACATCAGGATATGATAAGTACAACTGTTGTGTGTCACAGATTGGGTTTGCAGGAAAGCTTCTGGGGTTTTGCTTCATTTGGGTTTATTATTTTGAAGTGACTTACTGACTTTGAAATTTTATGCAATATGATATCATGAAAGGTAAATAGCCAGCATTTCAGGGAAGGCAGGGAGGGAAAAAGCCTCAAGGTGTGTCAAGCCAGACATGCATGTCAGACCATACAAATTTGCTGAACATTAAAAAGGCCAGGTTCGGGTTAACTGGCTGTGAAAGCAGAGGTAATATGAAAAGAAGAGGAAAAAAATGCTTTTAAATAAAGATATGGGAAAAGTTGTTTTATTTCTAGTTTACTAAAAATATGGAGTTGCACTTTTGATTTTCATCACTAATTGAAATTATCTGTTTTCTTCTTTTTTTCCAGTTGAAGTAGAGAAAGGTTGCCTTGGAGATAAGTTAAAATAGTTTAGTAACTGGTTCTGTAGAAAATCCTGTGAGTTGCAGTTGTACCTGAGCCTCACAGAGAGCTCTGGGATGCCAGGCTTTATTCTAAGAAACTGAAAAATTCACAAGTCTTATCACAAATAATAAAGTTTATGTGTTCTCCACCTTCAGTTTCTTCAATATTCTGAGCTGAAATCAGGGTCCTTTAAACTGGTAGCCCTATACAGCTTGTAATTTGTCTTCTGAACTAAAGAGCCCCTTGGACTCTATCTGGCCTTGGTTGATTCTATGACTGAACTTTGCTCTGAGCTAAAGTTGTTTCTTCCCTTCTCTCCTTCTGATCTTTGTTATTGTGAAAGTCTGGACGTGTATACGTATGTGTGTATATATATATATATGTATATGTATACACACACACTGTTTAAGTCCATTTGTCTCTTTTGCTTTTTGAAGTCCAATGGCTGGAAAATTGCCAACAGGTGAACAAGAGAAGTTGCTTTTGTCCTTCTCAGTCCTGTTTTGTGTATGTGTTGACATTGAGCCTACATGCAGGTATTAGTAGTGCTGGGCATTTACTTGTACTGGCCCAATACCGTGCCTTTTATTAGAGCTGCACAAAGCTATAAAAAGATGAAGGTTGTCTTTCCCGTTGGTGATTTGGCTTTTGTTTGGAATTTGTTCTGGATCTTAAGTTTTGGTTGCTTTTTGATTATTTGTTTTGTGTTTTTTAATTCCTCTTTGGCTGGGCTCGTTCAACATGTTCATGGACCATTATTTAGAAGTTATTTAAATCTCACACTGGTTCTGGGATGGCAGTCAGTCAGTCTTCAACGCTCCCCCCAGGTTGAATGCCTTGATCTTTCTTAGTCATCTTTCTTTTGATGCGTTTGAAAAGCGTCATGCTTTTGATTTTAACAAGTTATTGTTTCTTGCTTTGGCTTGCCACCTTATGGTTATGTTTTAACTTGTCTCTCTTTTCTTGTTTTCCTTGAGGGAACGGTTGTGGTTTTCGTTTGGGTTTTTTTAAAGCCTCTTCATTCTAATTGGCACCTTTAATCAGTTTGAGTCACACTAATTTTTTTTTTGTCCTTTCAGAATCTTATTTGTTAAATGTTTTACTACTTCTGATCCCCTAATATGTGCAACAGAGGAACACTTTACCCTTCCAGTTTCTTTTAACTTATTTTTAACCAGCTTCCTCTTTTAGATGTAGTTGCCCTGTGCTTTAGCTGATTGCCTGTAAGTTCCTGTATTTCTTTTGCATACTATACCTACTGTGGCCTTAAGAACTGATAAATTTTGGTGTAATGTGCTTGGCTGGACAAGATCTTTGTTTATTACCATATTCTTTTATGTATGCTGCTCTTGATAGTACTGCTTATAGCATGTCCTTGCTGACCTAGGGGTTCAGCTATTTCACTGACAGTTGACATGAAAGGCTATAGGGATGATTGAGCACACAGACACTTCAAAAGAAGGGAATAGGAAGTAATCTCAACTGGCAGGATAGACTCTGCTTCTCTCATCTACTCCTTTTTCTTCTTTTGAGGAAAATTGATTCTGTATTGTAACATACCAGTGATTTAATCTTTTATAATACAGTATATTAAATACTGTAAAACAGAAGTTTTGACAAAGTCACAGTACCTGATCTCTAAGTCAGGTTGAACTTGGAAATGGATTTAAGTCCCCACATCTTCATCTGTATTTTACACAGTATTCATTGCTATGTTAACCCTAAGTCTATGGGGTGAAGTAAGGTATCACAAGAATCTCTTGGCCGTTCTGTTAAGTGTTTACTGGTTTACAAATACTACTAGGACATTTCTTAGGAGGAGGAACAGAAGCACATCAAGAAGAGAAAAATTTGGAGGAACTGAATTTAATTGCTTAAGATCACCAATATAAGGCAATCTAGTCTTCAACAGTCTGCATGATTTTAAGATGACTTTTCTATGTACTTGAATATTTTTGGTTTAGTTGGCTTTTTCCTTTTATTTCTTCCTGGTTTTTGTTTCTTCTTCGCAAAAGGAAGGCTGTTGATTCAAGATCACTACCTTGTATGTCCTTGTTTTGTTCACAAATAGCTTACTAAGAATACCTATTTTTAATGTATCTGGTACTTTTGAGCTTGAATATCTATTAGTGAGGTGTTCTTCCTGAATATTTGACTTTGTCAGCCTTAAAGAGAAGAGAGAAACCCTGACCAGTAGCTTTAAGGTTAAGTGCATGTCTAACTAACATCTTAGAATTCCTGAAGTTTGACAGTTAATTGATGGACAAAAGAGAACTGGCTTATGTTATTTCCATTGGCATTCAAAGGCTTTAGAATGAGATTCTGAGGAACAGACTGCTTAACAGAAATTGTTCATTGCATGAGAAGTAACTGCAGTTACAGATCGAATTATTTATAATAAAGCATAGAATTGAATGCAGAGTTTCCATCAAAGCCAAAGTGACTGTGGCATGCCTCAGGGTTTTGTATCGATCTTGCCACTAGTGTATATTAACTCCACATATGAAAAAGGTGATTAGCAGTAAGTTAGACAAACTGTAGATGGAAAGAGTGAAGGTAAGTCAATAAAAAAATTTTGTGAGGCTTCATTAAACTAGAAAAAGCTGCATAAAGGAGGTAATGTTCCTTACTAGTATAAGTAAAATCAAGTATGATGGAAGTCATGGCACATGAGTAACCCATACGGAGCAGTGTTTCCTTTCTAAATTTTATCTTACGCCGAAATCTTAAAGGCCTCTTCCAAACCAAAGTGTCTTTCTCTCAACTTTGCATAGCAAATGAAGGGCAGCTACAATATCAGGATTTTTTTGGAGTATATTGTGGTGCTACTATTACTACAGACCATGAAGTTAAACATAAAGCACAAATGAATACTTAATTGTTGATATATAAAAGCTTGGGAGTATTTTTTCTTCTACCTTTCTTACATCATACACTTAAAAATAACTTGGAGATTAACTCTACTTGCTTTTATATGTTATATTCTAGCTGTTCTTTATAAAGAAATGTCACCTGTCATATAATATTAGCAGAAAGTAATAGGTTGTCTGCTCAAGTGATTACACTAACATTAATAAATCAATAATAATAAAAATATTGAAAATAATTATTGATAAATATATATTTGTGTTCTGGATTAAAAATCTTGAAACTCTTGTTATTCACTTATATGAAAATATAAAGTAGTTTATATGTCTATGAAACTATGCACTGCCTAATTTTTCTCTTTTGTTTTTGCATATTTTGATGGACTCAGAAAATTAAAATAGATGTTCTGCAATGGTTCGAGTCCGTATTTTGTTCTTTCTATGTGAGCTTATTTTGTGGGCTCTTCCTTATAATTTTTCAGACTAGAGAACATAATACAGGATTTCTTGCTGTAAAAAAGAAAAGTGATGATTGTGTTCATTTTTCTTAGATTGTCTCATTTACAGTGTTTCTTTGGTTTATTCAAGGGCGCTGGGAGTTTCAGTGACAGATTATACATTTGAAGACTGTCAGCTAGCTTTGGCTGAAGGACAACTTCGTCTGCCTTCAGATACATGTCTTTTAGAATTTGCAAAGCTTGTGAGAAGCCTTGGGTGAGCATATACAATATTTATATGTAAGGTGCATATTTATTATATATCCATGTTTATATAGTTTTCCCTTCATATAAAAATACTGCATTTATGAATATATATGGAATGTTGTCATAATATGATCAGGGAAACACCAGTGTAAAATCAAACCAATACTATAATTCATTTGCAAGCAGCACCCCAAATCCTAGTGATTGTGAAGTAGGTTATAAAGTTCTTACTTTCCGTCTGACAAGTCGGCAGAGTGAGTCTGAAGCAGTCATTCCTGAGCAAAACTAAAAACACTTTCTGAAGAGGGTCAGGAATACTGTGGGATTCCTAATATTTGTTACAGTTAAGAGTCAATTGCCTTTTCCTGTGACATCTGTGAAGGGAAAACAAGGGATGCTAAACAAGGACATCCAGTCACAAGACTGGATTAACCTTGTAATAGTGAGGACAGAGGGGTCACCCTTTCCCAAGCAGCAGAAAGTGGTAGTTGATCTTTTGAGTAGGTTGATGCCAGATGGACTTTCTAATGAAACTGTAGCTCAGTATATGCAGCGTATATCTTCTCTTCTCTCTTCCCACAGTGTCATTTCCTGCTGGCTTTACCTTTCAGAAAAGCCTCAGCAAACCTGAAAAATTCACATAAACCAAATAGTAGAACTTGTTGCTGCTGTTTTCCAGTTTTTCTCCTGCTTCTTCAGTCATCCTATTGAACAACCACAAACTACATGTGCAGCAGCATCCTATTAACTGTTTTAATATGCAAATATCCTTCTTCATTTTTTCTCTCATCACCTGAAAGTATAGAGCATAGTTTCATGTTTTCATTCTGTACTGTTATTTCCTTTCACTATTTTTTCCTTCATCTTCAGCTTGTGTACATAAATGAAAATAAAGAAGAGCAAAGCTGTGTTGGAGAATAAGGAATGTAGGACAGCTATACACTATGCATTCAGATGATAAACATATATTAATACATTGTCAGGACCTCCATCTGAAAAGACTTCCATTTGGACAGGAGAGACTTGTAAGGGCAAAGAAAGATTCTCACTTTGTTTCGAAGGCTCTGAATTTACTGTATCAAGAAAAAAAAGCAAGCGAAACAAAACAAACCAACCACCCACATCTCTTATTATGCAGTTGATAATCCCAGGATTCAGTTTAATCCTCTTGTTAAGTTGTCTGGCTTCTGTCTGCTCAATTTAAAGCTGTTCTTTCAAATTATGCTTTTCTGGGTTTTTGTTTTGACCTCTAAAACAATTACATGCATTTGTGAGTGAAGTTCCCTGCAGCCCAAAAGTTCTCTCTGGTTTGAGCAATTATTCATTGGTGAAATATCCTGTCTGGAGTTGGGTATGTGCCAATAAGAAGGCTATTATGATGGTGTTTTTCTGGCACAGTTGGATGAAGATTGTAATATGACTTCATCTCTAATGCACATTTGATAGAAGTAGTCATTTTGCTGTTTATTCAAATGTTTTGAGGCCAGGGAGGCAATAAGATCATCCACTTGCATGGCTATGTGACTGGAGCAGTAAGTTTTATCCAATGGATTTTTCATCGAGTGTTAATACTTGCTTTTGAGCAATGACATACCTTTGAGGTAGCATGCAATTTTAAAAGATTTCTGTAGTGAGACAAATTCAGACTGCTTTTTGGTTTACATTCTTTGAAATCAACGTAGACCTGAGTTTGCTACACTGCAGAGTTATTTCTGTACACATTATGTATCTACAGGATTCATTATTATTTTCTGAAAAATTTGCTTGGTCTGTGCTCAGCTGATTGGGATTCAATTCAGAAGCCGTGCAGCCACAGCAGTGAGTTCTCATGCTTCATCTAACAAAGAGCTCAGGCTCTGTTAACGGAGCTATATAGCTGGCTGAAACTCAGCTGCTTCATACTGAATTCCTCGGTAAAATGACTGCTTTATCAAAGAGATCAATTGATCATAGACTAACCTTCTCAAATTGTGCATTTGTTAGTCCTCAAGCAGTCATGCCTCTCTTGAGACTGATAATTTACGTCTGACCAATGAGCTGATTACTAAACTATATGCAGTCTGTATTATAGTTTTTATACATTGTAAATCCTCTGCTTCATTTGATTATTTGTTGCGTAATTAATTACCCCACTGTTTAAAGTGAGTCTATTTTTACTTGGGCTGGATCTATTACCATGTTCTAGACATTCAGTCTTGTTTGGATTTTGTGCCTTACTAAAGACGTCTTCAGATTATCTCCTTCAGGAAGTGTTAATACAGTTAATTAAATCTCATCTCCATCTTTTTATGAGCTGCTTTATGGCAGTTGCCTGCAAGGAGATCCTTGAGTTCTGATTTGAATTGATTTGTTTCTATTGTTTCAAACTTCTGTTTGTTCTAATTCCTGTATCCACTTTGCTCATGAACTAGAAGGACCTTCCAACTTTAATTGTTGCTCCCCTTTCTTATGGAACAGTGGCTTTTAGACCATCAGTGTCTTCTTAGAGAATTCGGTTTTCTAATTTTTTCAGTTGTGGTTGTTCTCAGTTTTAGTTGTTTTGGGTTTTGAAAATTAGAGATATCTCTTTTCTAAGGAAAAAAAAAAAAAAAGCCAAATGGAGCACATATTGCAATCCAGAGTAGAATTTTTTTAGTGACTGTGTTCTGCATGCTGTTAGATGGGGCTTATAAAGTCAGGTCTTAAAGTAACCTGAAATTTTACTCTAGTGGTCCCGGCCTTTTACACTTTTTTTTTTTTATTTGGGGGGTGGGGTATAGGTTATGAAGGGGAGGAGAAAGAAAGCAACAGCTTTGTCAAACTTGGAGCCAGATTAAGGATCATCTGTTTGCATATCCCATGCTTGATTTATTTTTTTTTTTTTGCTTCACAGTTGTTTTATTCCAAATCTTTCACTTTTAAAACCCTAGGTATGATTTGGAACATATAGCAAAAGCAGATGTGTGTTATGTCCTTCTGTTTTGGTCACTGTTTTCTACTTCTTGATTTTTCTTATTAATTTAAAGTCTTTTTGGAAAAAATATTCTCTAGAAATGAAGGTTATACATCTGTTTTCCCTAATTTTTTTTTTTAAGCTAGGCAGCACTGATACTTGTCCAAAGTGGCACTTTTTTTTTTCCTGCATGGTAGTTGGCCTCCACTTTGTGCATCAAAAAACGAGTATAGAAAATACAGCAAAACTATCATATGGTAACAGGGTGAATGTGTGGTTTATTATTGGTGTCATGTGGCACAAGACTCTTTGGTTTGGCAGGTTCTTGGTGTGGTGTAATCCTTTAGTACACAGTCTCTGAGGTTCTTCATACTTTTCACTGAAGACAGTATGGCTTTGCTGATTATGTCTTACTTTCAAAAAATACAGTTTGCACCACATTATCTTTTTCAGGTCGTATTTCAGGAAAATCCACTGTTCTTGCCTTTTAGACTTCTTAGGTTTTGCAGTAGGATTACTTTTAGTAATTTTTATCTTTAGTAATGGGCAGCAATTTGGGTTTGAATTCTTTTTGAATTCCTAACCGTCTCTTTGCTTTCCTGCCCTGAGTATTATTGGCATCTTGTACCCATGTAATGAGTAGTAGTGATGTCTGCCCTGGAAGAATATTCAACAACCTTAGCATGCCTGCAAAGTTTACCTCCTTACCTCCCTGGCCCTGGTGAAATTCAATGAAATTCAAACCGACTGGTTTTGAATCAATTCTCCTGTCTCTGAGAAGCCTTAGTATTTTGGTAAGAATGGCATGAACTAAAGAGCAGTTCCATTTTGACTACTACTCTCCAGTATTATCAAGTCAGTTGTGAGGATCCTACTAGACAATGCTACTGTAGGCTTCTAAAAAGATCTGTAAGGAGTAAATAATTACCTCATAGGCCTGCTGCCTGTCTATTCTTGCTCAACAGTCTTTAGCATCCAGACTACAATGCAAACTTCTGCTTTACACGTGTGCCTGAAATGGTGGTCCAAACTGTAGGCAGAACTTTGAATTTCCAGTGTAATAACCCTCACAGCTAACTAATAGTTCAGTGACATCTAAGTGTTCAGAGATCATCTATAAAAAGAAAAAAAACTTCTGGAGGATGTTGTCCGTCTGCATTTCTGATAAAAGCAATACTCAGAGTATTCAAGAAGGTCAGTTTTGCAGCTGTTCAGTATCCTTTCTCCATTATGACATGAAGTGTCACAGAAGTACATCAGCAGACACAAAACTGAATGTATTGTGCTTTTCTAGCTTAGGGCATGTTTCTCTGTGCTTGCAGTTTACAGTAGCTATCTACAGGATCCAGCTGTTCTTCCAGCTCTGTCAGACACTAGAAGGTTTTTGGCAGGTTCCCAGCATGCAAGAAGGGAGTTTGTTTTCAAATAGTCAAATGCAGCTAAAACTAGCTTACTTGCTAAAAATAGTGGTAATTATGCTGAAAATATTCTACCTTCAGGGATCTGGTTTTCCTTGTGAAGTCTACTGTGAAGAGTTTAATGTTCAGAATTTAATATTAATCTTGAAAAATGTCCTTTCCATCTTCACGGACTCAGGAATGGCTTTTTCTTCTCTTTAGTGTGCACTGACCTAAAAAAATAAAGCAAAACACCACAACAGCAAATAATATTTTTTATCATAAAGCCTAGATCCTGCGTGGATGCCATTAGGCCAACAAGCATGACTTCATCAGTAAAGACATTTGCTGTTGGCTTTCTAGCTTTTATGGCCTCCATTGAGATAAAAGTAACAATTGTAAAGGAATTGAGACATTCAAACCATTTCACCTTGGTTCAGAACCGATTTACGAGACTTGCACTTGGCTTCAGAAAACTTTAGCATAGCAGCTTTGGTCATCAACACGTCAATTACTTTCTGATTTTGAAGGGCTAGAGGGAAGCAAGCCCATCTTGGATTACCAGAAGTACAATGCAGCTATACTCAAGTTGAAGCAGTGTTTGCCTCACTGATCCACATACTGCTTTTGAGATTGGCTCACATCTTCTGTATTTACAAAAGACAAACCACAAGGTGTCTGTAAGATTTGTGGTAAGTCATGCTATTTTCCATACAAGGTTTTGCCTTCAAACTGTATTTTAGCTTTTCAAATTTAATTACTGACGGAGATATTGCAAGTCTTGAATACTACTCACCAAAGGGGTACTCCCTCAGTTATAGAAAGTGAATTTTGAGTCAATTTGTTGCAAACCAAATCTCTCTGATTTAGAGACAGATGTTGGACTATATATTCTGTGTCAATGGTGGCTTATCTCAAGGAAGGATTTAGATGCCAGCTGTCCTTATCCTACAGTTAAAATCCATTTCAGCTACTACAGTGGGATGTATTATCTGCGGACACTTCTTGCATGTAATCCTGCATGTGAGTAGCTGAGTTCTGGGTGCATCTCAAATCCTCTATGGATTTCTTTTTTATTGTTTCTTCTACTTTTCTACTTGGTTGTGAAAAGTGAATGTTTGCAGAGGGATGTCTCACTCATCTTTTCATACTGTCTAGAACTAAATCTTACAATAGGTGCTTTAATGCTAGGATGGAGAACATACGAATGTTCTGTGGGAGCCATGGGTCTCTGGAAGAATTCTTGCATGACCACCTTCAGATCTTATAATTCAGAAATGCAGGACTTGGCATTGTTTAAGTAATACATATTTGGTCAGTATAGGTCATGACAGACAGCATGGTAGTTGTATTTTTACTTAAAAGCCATGATGTTTAGGAAGGATCATTACAGCAAGCAGTCAAGTTCTGGAGCTGATGTAACAGATAATCTTCCTATCAAAAATGCTCTTATCTTTTTTCAGAAGCTCCTGAGAATGCTGATATTAAGCATTTTATTCATTCTTGTTACTGAGAGGAAGCTGCTGAGGAGTCCCAGCTGCAGCCTGGGAACAATTCTGGTGTGAGCTTCTGAGTTCTGTAAATAACTGCCTTTCCTTGTCTGCAGCAGCAAACAGGAAAACAGGCAACTGCAGAAGGATCTTGTAGGAGACTTTATTGCCTTCTTTTGTCTTCAGACTGGAAAGTTTGGATGCCCATGTTACCCTAAATCACTTCAGAGGAAACCTGCTGATCAAGATGTGCTTGATGTTGTATTAGGGAGAGAATCTACTTTTCCTTGCATGCCTGCAGCACCATTTATTATATTCACTGTAGGACTTTTTTTGCAAAACGGAAACAGGAAGCTTGACTTAGGGGAAAAAAATATAACCAACCATGAAGTAGATATCTACAGAATTATAAAGTTGTTCATTCATCAGTCAAAATCTGGTTTTGCAAGAAGAAGGACTGAGGAAATTCTGTAGCTGTATGCACTGTTATAATTTTGTATAGGTCACCTTATAATGGTGTCCAGCTCTGGACTGAATGTGAAAAATGAGCACTGACAAACAGGATTAACAGTATAATCGCTATTATGTAATCCCTGATCTTTTTTTTTACGCAGGATGCATCAGGTCTTTCCTGTTCAGTGACATTAGTAAATTTGGAAACGTAATTGGTTTATGTTACTGTCCTACAATACAGCCATATTCAGGTGACCTGAATTCCTCCTAGCTCTCTATGCTTGGTATTTATTAGCTAGTTCTAGACTGTGTTTCTTCATGTTGAACTGCTTATACGTATGACTTATAATAAAGGTAAAGGACACAAGTTTATGTCCAGTGTTCTTAAACCCTTGCAGTAACTTCTAATATGGTTCAAGAACTAATGAGAGCCTTAAAATTATAGGAATCCAGTATTTTATAAAAAAGTTGTGTAATAATTCTGATTCCAGATTTTGTAGTACTTTACACCATTACCATCCATTGCTTCATTTGGTACATTAAAATGTGCATTGTTAATACTGATTTATTTTAAAATGTGCAAAAATTATGTTTTCTAGGCTGAAGCCAGAAACACTTGAAGATGATCTTGATAAATATGCTGCAAGTGCCATGAAAATGAAGAAAGAAAAGGTTGATCTTAAAGAATTTTCAGCATACTTGGAATTTCCAGTTTCTCACACGTTAGAAAATATGTTCACACTTTTTGATGAGGTAAGAAATGACATATTAAAAAAAGTTAATATTTTTTATGAATTCCACTGTAGCCTACTTCTTTTCCAATTGCATTCACCAAGATATGATTTTGAGCATTTCACCATAGTATTTGCCTACTGCTTTTCTCTTTCAGCAACGTAAGGGCAGCTGTCATCAGCTAAATAAAGCATTTGTTCAGGTAGAAGTTAATAGGAGTATCAGCTGGAAAAAAATTATTACTTTCTAGATGCAAAATATGAAGAGGAAGAAAGGTAGAGTCAGGCTAAACCTCTGCTGCTGCTCATTGCAACTCAATGCAGTGTCTGTTAGCTGATATTTCACTTACCTTGTAAATAAATTACTTGTTTTTCTGGGATGCCTGAAACTTGAAGGACTTTTCATTCCTCTGGCAGTCAGAATGGAGAAATTACTATTGTCTTTGTCTGGATGAGGTGCTGTTTGGACCAGGGGGTGGATATGTCCACAGTGTTCTCTCTTAGACCAAAGAGCAGATATCTTGTATTCATGGCTTAAATTAGGCTGTGTTGTCCTCTGGTTCTGTGGTTTTAATTTCAGCCAAGTAATTCAGATGGTTTAATGTAAAAATCTTAGATATGCAAGTGAAGGGTGACTGCAGCAGTGTCATTTAAGAATATCTGGACTATGATATTTGTCTGAGACACCGAAAAGGGCATGCACAGCTTTCACACAGGTTCTTGCCCTCATGTGATTTCATTTCAGTGAGACTTCATGACATATGTAACTATCTTTCTGAATATTCTGCATCTTTAGCAACTGTTTGTTATTTATGAAAAACTGCACTGTTTTGAGGGGAGGTTTTCCTTCACAGAATGAAGATGGTGTAATTGACATTCGGGAATTTGTCATTGCTCTGTCAGTTGTCTGTAAGCCATCCAAAACTCTGGAAACAATTCAGTTGGCATTTCAGGTAAGCAGCGTTTTCGTGCCTTTACATGGTTTACTTACTTTTAGAAATTTTTTATACTGCCATTAGACTTAATAGTAAGTTTCACATTCCCTTTTAATACTTTTTAAATACTTTTTAATACTTTAAATACTTTTTAATACTTTTAATACATTTTAAAACAATGGAAAGTTAGATTAAGAGGTCATGTTAAGAGGAAATCCATTGCAAGTTTAAGTTGTGTGAAATTATGGCAGTTTGCAGTTTGAAATTGTTCTTTGTAGAACTCTGGTAGAATCCTTCTCAGCAAGTTGAGTCTCAAACCTCAAGTCTTTTGTATTGATTCCTCTAAACTAAATGCTGTTAAGTTGTAGAATGTTTGTAGAATGCTAAGTTGTAGAATGTAAACTTTTAGAATATTTAAATCAAATCATACTTTTCAAGTTAATAAAGTATTTAAAAAAAATTCCTACATGTTAGTAGAGATTATTTTTTTTATCTCCTGTTAAGATTTTCTTCCCTCTTAGCCTTAGCATGCTTCTGTGGTGGTTCTGCAGTTGTTTTCCAGACTTTATACTTCCAGGAAGTGCTTCTGATCTTGTTCTACTCTGTGGTTTGTTGTAGCATCAGCATAGATCATTAATAAGGGCTTTCTGGGAAAGTGACAGCAACAGTGCTTAATATTTGTCATTCTGTTGGGTTTCTGACATCTTGAATTATTTCTTTTCCATTGATTTCTTCAATGTTGCTATTTCAACATGCAAACTCCGCTGTATCCTGCATCATCTTTTCCCTTTGCCTTGAACTCACATGGTCTTTCATGTTGCTAAAAGTGCTAACTCTTGATACTGTCTTCACTGGTGAATGCATGGAGCTGAGAACATTCAATTGCATGGCACTATATATGTAGCCTTATTTTCCAAGTAGTTATTTTCAGGTTCTTCACCATACCTGTGTAACCTTAACTGCGTTACACTAAAGAAATGACGCTCCTGTGGGTGCTCACTGTTCACATGTATATGCTTACCTGTTGACCAGAATCAAATTTGACAAAGGAGGAACGAACAAAAATATGTAGTTCCTATAAATATTGGGAGAAATCTGTCATTAGTAGCTGCTGCTACTTACTGCTACTTCTGAGGCAAAAGCAGAAAGGTCTCTGTCCTTACTTGGTCAATTTGATCTATATAGTGGCATAGAGAAATAGTCGGGTGCTGTTTGGTCAACTTTGTGTCCTCATAGTAAAATGAACAAGCTTAAAGTAAACTTGAAGGGGCTTTTGGGAAATATTTTAGTGAAATTTGGCTGTTGTGATTCATAATGCACAATATAATTTTACCATTTGAGAGGAGGAAAAGCTCAGATTGGACAGTTATTTTCCTTTTGGAAGCACTTGAATTTAATAGAACTGTTTCTTAGTAAAATTTCTGTTCTTCATTATCTGCTTCATTCTTCAACTCCTAACACATAATTTTGAGTTGCCTGGTTAATTGCAAAATATAAATTTAGCTGTAAAACTGCAAAGATGATTTATGCGTGTATTAAGAAGGGGAAGTGGGTATGTCTTATTTTATCATGCCTAGTGATGATTGGAAGGGTTAAGAAAAGTCTCAAGCTGAGGAAATTTTGCTCATTATTCTACCAAAAAAGGAAAGATAACCTTTTTTTAATCCTTTCCTACCTCACATCCTGCCTTAATGTACCGTAAGATATTCACAGAGCTTATGTGGAGTTACTGCAGGTTCTAACCAGTTCATGAAGGTATGACTTTGAACAAGTTCTGTCCTCTGCCACATGGTACTTTCTGCCATTGTCATTTGCTCTCAGGGAAAGTGCAACATTTCACATAGCTACAAGTTTTCAAAGTGAAGGTGTTTGGTATATGGCTGAAGAACTTGAAAAATATTATCATTGTATGCTGATGATACAAAGCTGGGGTGAGTGGCTGATACACCTTAAGGCTGTTCTGGCATTCCACGGGACCTTGATAGGCTGGAGAACTGGGCAGAGAGAAACCTAGTGAAGTTCAGCAAAGGCAAGTGCAGGGTCCACCTGGGGAGGAATAACCCCCAGTACCAGTGCAGGCTGGGAGCTGACCTAGTAGACACCAGCTCTGTGGAGAAGGACCTGGGAGTCTTCCATGAGCCAGCAGTGTATCCTTGGGGCCAGGAAGGCCAATGGGATCCTAGGGCCCATTGGAAAATGTGTGGCCAGCAGGTTGAGGGAAGTGATCCTCCCCCTCTACTTAGTCCCAGCGAGGCCACGTCTGGAATACTATGTCGAGTTCTGGACTCCTTAGTACAAAAAAGACAAGGAGCTACTGGAGAGGGTCCAGGGGAGGGCCACAAAGATGATTAGGAGTCTGGAGCATCTCTCTTATGTGGAGAGACTATGGCAGCTGGGCCTGTTTAGAGAAAACAAGACTGAGGGGGGATCTCATCAATGCAGATAAATATCTCAAAGGTGGTTGTCAAGAGGACTCCTTTCAGTGGTGCCCAGCTGCAGGACAAAGAGCAGTGGCCATGAACTAAAACACAAGAAGTTCATCCACCTCAACATGAAGAAGAACTTCATTGCATTGAGGGTGGCAGAGCACTCAAACAGGCTGCCCGGGGAGGTTGTGGAGTCTCCCTCTCTGGAGATATTCCAAATCCAGCAGGACATGTTCCTGTGTAATTTGCTGTAGGTGAGCCTGCCTTGGTGGGGAGATTGGACTAGATGATTTCCGGAATCCCTTCTAACTGTAATGATTCTGTGATTGTGAAAAATAGGAGTTACAGGGCCACCAGATTTCTACAGCGGTGGACAATTAAAAGAGATTGGGGGTATTATGGCAATCAAGTCTAAGAGCAGCCCTCCAGAATAAGAGCTACACGTCCTCCCTTCTGAACTGCTAGTGAAACTAAAGGGTGTTGTAAATCTTGTCAGTGTGATGCGTGTGAACCTGACCACCAAGTATCACCTGACTACTTGTTCTGTGAAAATGTAGCAGGTTTTATTAAACAAGTCTTGGCCTTGCAGCTTTTCCTGTGAAACAGTGTGCAAATTAGGTGCTAGAGAAGAAAAGGCAAGATTCCTGATCTAATCATGAGTGTTGTCTTCCATGGAACTTCAATATTTTTATTCCACTAAGGTGTGCTGTCTTGTGACAGCAACTTCTGCTTGTGGAAATATGCATCCTTATGCCTGTTTTGTTCAATCTCATCAGTTCCCACCTTCTTAATGATGTAGAGAAATTAAAAGGAAGTTTCCAAAATAGGATTCTTTACATGGTTCAATATTTACAGTGTTGTCATGCTTGAAAAGGAGACAGGAATGTTTCAAAAACTCTTATGTCTCATGTTCCATTGTGTAGGCAAATGGAGTTATTTTAAGGAAGTTTAATGAAGCTGTGTATTTGGNGCAAAAATGGGAAACTGAAACTCTCTAAAGTTTCTCATCCCTTATAAGTAATCCTGTAATATTAAAACATATATCTTTGGTACAGATGTTTTGAACTACGCGGGTCCATTTTTTAGGGAAAAACACTGCACATATGTGAAGATGAAATGAGACTGTGAACAATTCTTTTTAGTTATCAATCTATCAGTAGTAAAGCTAACTCCTTCTGTGAGGCAGCTCTTTTTCAGGATGTAAGAATATGCAAATTATTGTTTTCTAGAATAAGTATTTGTAGAAAAGTATAGGCCCATCGCTGTATGGGGGAGGATTCTGCTGATTAATACCATTTACACATAGGCATTTTATGCAAACTGGCTTTTGGATGTTGGTCAAAGGAATCTTGAGTTTTACATCTGACCAAGTGGAAAGGTCATCTACTTTATGCTGACCTTTTATCTTCTGATTTCACAGACTGTCTTGGAGTTTGGACATGTAGCTCAATGGACTAAATATTATTCTCAGTTACATATTTGCAAAATATGTTAGCATTAAACAGTTTTGTCACTGAATTCCAGTGGTCCACTGTAATTCAAGTGGTTAGGCATGTAAGCATAGGATTTTTTTCTGAATATAGTAAGCTTTACTTTCTAAGCATACACGGGTGAACTGATGATGGATATATTTTACCCAGACTAACCTGAAATCCTTAATATATCACATCAGTCTGAGAGTGACTAGAATTTCCAATACCAAATTTTAATTTTGCATTACTTAAATGTGATGCTGTTTATAGGAGTTGGCATTTGGCTTTGCAATGATTTATCATGCTATCTTGATTTGTAGCTATACCAATCAGAAAGTGGAACTATAACAGAAGAGGATTTAGCTCATATTCTGAAGACTGCCATGGGTGTATCACAGATTAATGTTACACATCTCTTCAGAGCTGTAGATGAAGAAGAAAAAGGAAAGATTACATATGGTGAGTAATTTAAGTGGGTCAGAAGTGTCACAAAATGTCAAAGTTGCCTGAACTCATGTTGATATACAATTATATTTTTATTAAACTCTGCCTTTTGTTGACTTGTCTTTAATGCTGATAAAAGCATTGCAACCAAAGTAAATTTACATTTTAACAAATATGAGTTTCACCTTTGATATCAAGTACCGTATTTGCATGTTTTCAGAAGTTTTCTCTTCCTTATTGGTACATATGTCAGTTAGCTCGATTAGAGATTATGTTGATATGTCAATTAGAGAATATTCTGTTCTGTGACTTCCATGTATGTGAATATGTGTTTTTAAAGAAAGGTACCTTAGTTCTGTCTTCTTGTTTTGTCTCTTGCATCTGGGGGCAGGAAATGAGAGGGTTAACCAGGCTGCCTAATATGTAGTGTGTGATGTAGGTGGTACAGAGGCGAAAAAGTTGCATTTGAAAAATTGAGACCTGGGTGAATAAATTGTGCTGGGAGCCAAAGTACATGCGTGTTACTGCACAAAACATGAAGAATCTGAAGTAAGGCTCTAAATTTAGTTGTATCATTTAAGTATGAACTGAGTTGTTCATAGCCAGCATATCATGTATCTCCAGTAGAGGTGCTTATGACATAACCTGTTGTAATTGTTTTCCTTTAGGATAATCAGTATGTATTTAATTTGTAAAGAATTTACAAATTAGGATATCAGTGTTAATAAATCATAGTTTCTACACTAGTAATTCCTATGTTTCAGTCATACAATATGTACGTAAAGCTTCAACTGCAGAAATATTTTAGAGTTACTTTAACAATTATCATTGCCACTGCCCTTTCCTTTTTTCCTGACTACTCTTGTCTTCTCTCCTGGGTTCCTGCTGTACTACCCCTTTCCTTTTCGTACCTCTCATCTGTCACATCCCCAGCATTTCCACATACATCCTGCCCATTGCCTTTTTCCTACCTGTCACTCCAAACTGATTTGTGCAGTGACTCAACTCTTCTCCCCACCTCCCCATTGCCAGCTTCAAAAATACCATCAAGAATCTTAAGCTGGTAAACCTAGCAGAACTCTAATTTTGGCACACCTCATTGTTGGAGAATAGCTAAATTTGAAATCACGTACAAGTGAATTCAGACCAGTTCATGTGATTTACCAAAGAATTAATACTTTAATATTCATCTTTAATAGTTGCATTTAATCTGCACTTTTCCCCTGAGTGGTCAAAATCAAAGAATATCTGGACTGCCAAGCCACAGCAGTGGCCACTGAAGTGCTTGGCTCTCATATTCACTATTTTATTTCCTGTAGTCAAGAACAGTCTTTTTTGAGGCTACACAAAGTAGGTAGTAGGATGGGTTTTACATAATTTCGTTAAAACTTTCCTTGGTTCCTTTTCCATTAAAAGCTATCATTCTGTAATAAAAATGTTGCACTGTGATTTTAAAATATCCAAAAGCTTAATAGTAAGAATAAATGTCCAATATATTGTGGTAGAGAATTAGAAGAGGCAAATAAACCTTTGGTGTTGCATTTTTGTCTTGAAAGTTCCTGCCATAAATATTCAATCTCTTGCCTTTCCTGAGAATATGTAGAACTTCGCACATGCTCAATTTGTTGCTCTTACTTACTAGGAAGGAGAGGCGAAAAAACTTGCAGACTACAGAGTTCTGAAGATATTGTCCAGACAAGTTCTGAGAAATCAAAACATTGTGTCTGGTGGAAAAGTACTGATGTTACTTTTTACACACATAGCAGAGATGTCTGCTCACAGTCTCCCTCTTTCTAGGGTGTTAGAATGTGAAGCAGGAATTAGGTTTTTTATAAAATGTTATAAATTATCATCTCACAATATTGTTCTCTAAAATATTAAGACTTTCAAAATGCTGAAATCTTGAAAGTGGAAGGCAGCAATGACAGCTGCTGTTAGGTTGAAGCAAAACATTAAAGGACATGTTTGCAAAAGAGTTTAAGAACTTAAGAAATTACTACTCTTGCTGTTCAGTGATCTTCAGCTGGAGGGTTTCTGCCCTTTCCCCAGTGAGCAGTGAGATGCTATGTCAGGGCGTGTAAAATGCTCATCATGCATTTTAATGCAAACCTGAGCCTGTTTACCCCTTCATACAAGGTGAGGTCTGGCCTGAAGTGTTTTAAGAGGGCTTAGATAACTCTTTGCAGCATCTCAGTTCTGAGGATGTGTTAAACTTACGCTGAGAAGCTGAAACAAGCAATGGGGATAGCATTATGTTAACTGCTGCTATTTTTCTCCAAAGAGATCATATGATTATATATGTGTAAGTATTCAAATTTAGCATCCTTCTGTTTCAAAGAGCTGATTCTGTGTAACAACAATTTTTTTTTTAGATGACTTCTACACGTTTGCTGAATTGCACCCACACTTTGCAGAAGACTATCTCTATGCTGATCAGATGGGAGCTGAGAGCAGCTTGGAGACTTCATCTCTTTCTGCTCCTAATGGTATCTGTACTGACTTCAGCCCTGATAACACTGAAGATAAAAACAAGCCCCTACAGAAGAAACTGAATTAACACTGCAACTCTTACCTTCCTCTCCTGGTGAGAGGGTTGTCTTTTCTTGGGATTTTCATAAGTCACTCCAATTATACAGCAAATACCAGTTTTGTGTGTGAAAGTTCTTCTACCTTAATATCATTCTTTGAATCATATGTGCTGTATTTAACAACATGTTCCAGGTTACTTTGGGAAAGGTGTTTTTATTTTTTGAAAAGGTCTTTGAAAGGCAAAAATGTGAATGTGCTTCATTATTAATGTTCATATTTAAAGGAAGCGGCACACTTATTTATATTCCATTGGTTAGGTTCCTGTACAAAGTGTCGCACAAACTGTGCATGTAAAAAGAAACTGTAGCTACTATGGTGTTAAGTGCACTTTGGTGATTAGTGTTTTCCCTAGTTATGGGGATGTTTATTTGGGGCCAAACGTTGTTGTTCATATTTGCATAGTCAGTCCTGTTGACTTCAGTTGGATTATTCTCTTGAGCAGAGCAAGCATATTTTGGCCCTTTGTTTTGGTTTCAGTAAACAGTTTGGAAACAGTAATACAAGAACTTGCTAAGGATTATTTTTTAGTTTTACTGTTGAATGACAAAATTGTTTTTCTTTCAGTCTATTCCATGGTAGAATGAAAAGGAAGGGCTCTTTATCCCTCACCCCAACACTTTTCTACTGTAACCTTCCGGATGCAATTAAACATGAATTTTTTTCCAAACTGACATGCCACGTAACTGTTTGCAAATACATAACTAAACTGTGCTTTTCTCTTATAAACAATTCAGATCATGTCCACATTTTAATGGGAGATGTTTATGCAATTGTATTTGATGTAGATTTATTGGGGATCACAGGTTTCTTTTGTAGCAAGCCTGTACAGATAACACAGCATGGAACACATCACAGAAACTTCATTGTATCAGCTCAAGTTTGAAAAGGTTGCAGTTACTTCAGAGGCCAAGCCAGCAACAAGTTGCAGAACATCCTGAAGAAGTGCTAGTTACATCTCTATAGCAACATTACATATACTGCATATGACGTATATAAAGCTTAAAATAGTTTAAAACTGTTAAAAAAAACCACCACACTTGTATTAATAATACTTCTTATGTTTCCTTTTGTAAAGCCAGATGCCTTAACTACCATTGGAGGTCTCAGAGAAAAATCTAGATTATTATAAAACCACAGCACTTCACTGGTTAGTAGATGTTACAAAAGCCTCAAGGAGTAGGAAGGAGGACTCTGTTACAAAATAACTGTGATGGCAACTCTGCTTCTAAACAAACAAAAAAATCCTTCAAGTAATTTCTATGACTAATTTTGTAGGGCTATGCTAAAATGGGACAAATTTTAGCAGAAGGAAATCTGTTTGTACCAAATGCTTTTATAACTATTTTTTAAGTAGCAGGAGGTGTTTTAAAGCTCATTAGGGTATTGGCATCTGTCCTTAGAAATACCTTTCCATGTTGGGGCACCTGAGAGAGATGGGGAGTAGCTGGTTTAAGTCTGGAGGACATAACGTACTCAAAAAGAGAGATCAAAATTATCCTTTAATCCAAAGAAGAGGAGACTGGAGGAAGATGTGAAAACCAATGTGGAAAACATTGTTATAGAGAAGATAGGAATGTTCTTTTCTCCACATGGGTGGCAGATACAGGCTCTTAATTTAAAAGGCAAGTTAAACATTAGGAAAATTTCCTTACAATACACCTAGTTAAGCTAAGGAGAATAAGTTATTCCAGGTGGGGTGAGGAGCCTGCCTTCCTTCACTGGATGTTCTGAAAACAGAGAAGACAGACAGCTGAGATGGAGACACTTGATTTTATTGGTCACAGGGAGATATCTCTGAGGTCTGTTTCTGTGATTTTACAGTATGCATTTAATTCAGTATGTAAGGGAAGGCACATGTAGCCTGGGCGTGTTGCATCACCTCTATAAGGCTTTTTACAGCACGTGGCACAAGCTGGCTGTCTAAGATAGTTATCTTTTGCTTTGTATGTGAGCTTGGGATTTGAGAATTTCAGACTACAGGGGATGAAATAGAGTTCCCTCAGACATGTCTGAAAAGAAGAAAAAGGTAAGCTTAGTATCCCATGGACAACTTTGAAGTGAGAAAAGCTCCAGAGGAAGAGATACTCTGTCCACATCTGTGAAAGAGCAAAGAAAGATGATTGAAGTTGGCTGAATATGAGTGTGTCTAATTTGCATATACGGTGTGTGTATCTTGGGGGTCTGTCTTCTGAAAGCCCATAGGTTCATTTGGCTTCATAATTTTTTTGTGAAGGAGATGTTTTTTAATTGTGGTGAGTGTAATGGCTATACTTGTGTGCAGCTAAGCTGTACAGAGTGACTGAAGGGCGCTGCATCCTGTAATAGATGGGCCCTTAAACAGACACCACATTGTGTGGTGAAGAGGCACTGGAAGTCCTGTGTGTCTGTGAGTTCAGACCAGAGCTGCCTGCTGAAGAAGGCCAGTGACCTGCACATTGATTGGTGAGCAGGTACTCTTGGTGGATGCAATAATTAAAAAAAAAAAAACAAATAATAAAACATAATGCAAAACAACACTTAGATTCTGGAATGAATTGTGATTCTTCCTCTTTTGAGAAATTATTGAATGAGGTAGAGATGTAAATAGGATGAATGATAAGGTGAAGGATCAGCCTGCATGGAAACATCTTTAGATCTCATGTCACAAAAAGCTGAGATCAATTAATATGATTCTGGTAATTTTAGCACCTGTAGAATATTAAGCTATAATATTAGACTGTCTTGTAGTGAGAGAAAAGCCACATTACCACAGGGTTGAGAACTCAGGCTCTTGAGGGCTAAGACCTGTAACACATTGCATGATTGCAGCAATATTCATTACAACTCATCTATCAAACTCTGACTCCTGAAGTGTTTTAGTAGTTCCCCATGAGAAGCCTTTTTAAAAGGCACCTGACTTGGAGCAGCTGGGTTGCGACAGTCAGGTTTTAGTGACTTGCTGCAAAGTCAGGGTAGAAGTAGGACAAGAGGGCATGGCCTTAAGCTGCACCAGGGGAGGTTTAGGTTAGATATTAGAAAGAAATTCTTTACAGAGAGGGTAATCAGCCATTGGAATGGGCTGCCCAGGGAAGTGGTGGATTCTCTGTCCCTGGAGGTTTTTAAGATGAGGCTGGACGTGGCACTTAGTTCCATGGTCTAGCAACTGTGGTGGTAGTGGATCAAGGGTTGGACTTGATCTCAGAGGTCCTTTCCAACCCATCTGATTCTATGATTCTATGCTATGATTCTAAGTAAAAACTTCCTTTCCCCTTCACCACACATTGACACGTAAATGCTTTCCATTAAAATATTACAGATTTTACAGACAGATTGTTATATTTTAACTGGTGGTGTCAACAGTCCCTAAATATACAGGGAGAGATACGAAGAAATTACTTCAGTTCTTTACAACTATTTAACTTAATAAATGATCCTTAGACAGAAAATGCAGGGGTGCGAAGGCGTTTGATGTTTCTGATGAGCATTTTTCTCCTGTTATGTGATACTGCCATCCCTTCCTAGAAGAGCTCTTGCATCAGCCTGAATTTTTACATATTGTATGAGATACACAGCCAAAGCTTTGCTATTCTTGTATGGCTCAACCAGTATACTCTGTATTTTGAATATATTTAAAGTTACACAGAAAACCATGATATCCAAGATACCTGAAGTTTCTGGGTTTTGGTTTGGGTTTTTTTGCTTCATTTATCTCTTTCTAACATAATGAAACTCCACTAAAACCAAACGTGTGGGAGCTGCAAAACATGTTTAAACCACTGTCTCTACCACAGTATGGCAAGTGTTATTACAGATTTTTCAGAGTCCACTGCTGTAAGCAGATACACTTAAAAGGCTTTATAGGTAATTTGTAAGCCTTATGGAGAAACTAGGTTGTACACTTGTTTTATATGAATTAATTACACTGTACATTTCAATGCATTTGTCTTAGCTAGAATATTCTTAGCGTGATAAATAGTGACCAGACCTGTGTGTGTTAGCTAATCCCACTTAGAAGGTGTAAATCCTTAGGCCACAATGGTTGAAAAGTAGACATGTGTGCAGAAGGGAAGTGATGCACTCTTTAATGACAAAGCTGCCAGAAGTAAAAAGAGCTAAGATTTGCACAGAGCTCTTTATTAATATTTTCATGCAAACTGAATAGCTTTGTTAGCTAGTTTAAGCACTGGACTGGTTAGAATATTTTTATTTTCATAAAATGTAGTAAACATTTTTCTAGCAAAGTCATTGTTGGACTTCAGCATCTGATACATTTTCTAAAGCTGATGTGGTTTTATTAATTTACGAGTTCCCTGATAAGGCCATCTTTGGTACTGCCATTAAATTATTCTTTCTGCTTTTATATTACCATGTGGTAAGTACAACTTTTCATGTTAACTATTGTAGTCTCTTTCTGCTCTCTGCTCCTTCAAAAATGGAATTCCATTTAAAAAAAAAAAAGACAGGAAAAACCCCAGCACACCCTGACTGAAAGAATACTAGTTGCAAAACTAGCAGCACATGCTGTAGGTCGTATGATCTCAGAAAAAAAAAACCACCACCCTAAGCACAGCTTTGCATATGTTATGGGACTAAACAAGAATGGAAAGACAACAAAATTCTGATTAGAAGCTCTGACCAAGTCAGTTTCCTTCTTCTTTAGGTCAGAGTGTGGGTCATAGGACCTTCTGAAATGTTGCTTTTTGCTTAGTGTGAAGCCTCTGGGTTTTTTTTCTAGCAGCCCTTTCATGAGTGCTCCAGAAATAAGACATAACATATGTGCTGCCCGAAGATTCTGTATTAGCAAAACTAAAGTTCAGCTCCTAAAGCCATAATGAGACACAGAAGTTCCTTGTGAACAAAGCATTTCAGATACTTTGCTACATTTTAGGTATCTGAACTTCACCTCATTTGGAAAACTTAAATTACCAAATTATTCTGAATAGATCATTACAAAAAAAAAAAAGGAGGAAGAGTACAAAATGGAAAGTAAGAATTTGTCATCAGTGCCATTAATTAAATCAGTTATTGTTCAGTCCAGCAAAACTGCAAGATCTGTTTCACATATGAGCAGGAAGGCTGAGATTGTCACTTAGGTAATTTTGCTATCCTGATTTGGTAGAAATTAAGCCAGCTGGTCTTCAGTCAGAGGATGATTTCTTGAAAGTACTGCAGCATCATGTATCCAAGTAACATCTTGGTCACCAGCAGTGCAGCCAGTGAGATTTCATCTTCTCACCCTGCCTTTTTCCTTTGAATTTTGGAAAAAAAAAATTTGAACCATGACAGTATTCAAACCTTGTAAGATCTTAAAGGTAAAATCCTCCAGCACCACCTCAGAGGTGATCAACAGAGATGATAGTTCTATGCTTATAGCTATGGCAGTGAACTGGGTATACATGTTAGTCACCAACACCTTGTGATCAAACAATGCATAAATTATGTAATAAACCATGCATAAATTATATAATACTGATGTAAAACTACTGAGAGAACACAGCACCAAACAGGTCATCCATTAGATGTGCCAGGGCTTGGGTCTGTGAGTATTTCCTGAATCTCCCAGTGCTCAAGTTACAGCAGTTTTGTTCTCTACGAAATATTTCAGGTTTATTTCAAGATAATAATTACTTTGACTTCTACAAGTGGAGGAGTGATTTGTTTTGTAGAAAGCAGCTTCTTTTTCCCCAGATGGTATGATGTGCTTTATGATGTGTAATGGGATTAAACTGAAGTGGGTGATACCGAGAGAGGAGAGGATGTAAGAGGCTTATAAAATGGAGCATTTATGTTTCTGCAAGACATGCTAAGACATTTCTGCAGCTGTTGAAACTGCCTAGATTGTCTTGCAAGATCATTAGGCAAAATAATTTTACTAGTTGTGTGATGGCAGTGGCTGCTTATTTCATTCTCCTTAGCAGAGTGGCAGAGCAGAGCACTCCTATGCAGGTTGGCTTTGAGAGGCCATCTGTAACTGATACTGACATATCTGCAGTTTTAAAATGATGAGTCTCTGGGAACGGAAATGATAGAATCACCTTAGCACACATCGCACCAGCGTAATTAACTGTTAATTAACTTATCTCTTTGGGGTATTTCTTTTTATGAATGTAATTGTCATGCTGCTTGACTCTGAGCTAAATTGCACAGAGCCATATGAACATTAGAGCTCATTTGAGATTAGCTTAGGGATCTCAAAAAAGGTGCTGTATGATAATCTGTCAGTAAAATGTTAAATTTCAGGTTTTTTACTTTGACCAAAAATGTTAGGCGCAAGAGGAAAGTCATAATGACTTTTGTAATACTCTATTTTTATGCTATCAGTAGGGTGTTATTTAAGAATGCCAGTTCTGAGCCAAAGTCAGCTGGAGAAAAATCAGTTTGAACTTCTGATCCCAAACCAGCAAGTAGGAAAGCCCATCAAGGCTAGCATGGCAGCAGAGCTTTTACTCTGCTGCTGACCTTTTCTGACAGTAAAGGATCTTTTCTGCATCTTGGGCTGGTGAATTCAGTTTACTGTATCTCTAGTTCTTGCTTGTGCTGTCTGTTCTTTGTAGAGAGAGCCTGAGGGAGACCTTGCTGCCTCTTAGGTGACATTCACACACTTTTCTCCCTGAGCCACGAGTGGCAGCTGAATATTAAAGTCCTGTTCTGCTAATGCCACCCAAAACTAAGGGTTCATGTACTGTTTTAGCTTGTGCCTGCCGCTAAGTAGAGTTGCTTTTTCTTTTCGCACACTTCAACCATTGCAGATGTGTCCAGGTGACAGCAGGTCTGAAAGAGCTTATGAGATTCAGTTTGTTCCTGTGAACAACAAGAAATCAAATTTACAAATACAGTACAATGAAACCTTAAATGGGGTTGACTTCTGGCTCACTGTATCACTTTCAGTGTGAGCCTGTTTACTTCCAAGTTCCCAATACAGAATCTATAAATGTGATCGCAAACAAAGTCTCCTCGTGAATACTGAAGAAAGGTGACACTCAGACACTTTTCATCCTACCATGGTATTGGAAATGAAATTCATCTGACGAGGTTGTTTCTAAGTCTATGAATGTATATGGGAAAAACCCAAATACATATCTTTTATTCACTATCCAGCATGAAGACAATTTTGTATTTTAAATGCTAAAGAAATAAACTTTTAAAGATCTTTTATGCCCTAAGTAGGTATATTTTTTGTTTTGTGTTTTCTTTTATAATGAAGTTGAAGCAAAATATTTCTTATATTTCAGAAGGGACACTTAGATTAGCCAGTGCTGTACTTTACAGACTACAAGAACAGCTATAAAGTAAACATCTAAAATTGAAATTGTGTTTTTAAATATGTGAATTAGAATTCCTTTAAGTCAAACATGTCTCCTTAGCAATTGTATATACTTAGACAAAAAGTGAAACTGTTACAGCTGCTTGTCTCTATAGTTGTTTGTGTTTGGTGATTTGTTTATATTGCTTTCTCAATTGCTCTAAGGGTATTAAGAGCTCCATGTAAATCAGTAATGTTAGAAATA